GCTTCTTCCGGACATGAAGTCAACCTTTCATGCAGGATTTTGAAGTAGAAATTTTAAAAGTTTCCTGAGACATTACAGACATTTTTGTTGTTATTAGATTATGATGTATAATTTTAGAGAAAGGCAAAGAAAAAAGGTAAATAAATCTTAAAATGAAGGAACAAATTTTCTAATATTCACTTTGTTCATGAGAAATTATGTCTTGATTTGAGTTTAAGTATGTTTCTGCTACCCAAAAAATAGTTGTTTTTTAAAAAATTTTATTTAAAGAAAGACTAAACAAAACAAAATAGGTAGAAATAATATATACATTTAAAGAAAAAAACTAAACAGTAAGAAATCACTAGTTGATGTTTACATATTGTCGTTTTACAAATAGTTGTTCAAGATACAAAAATAGAACATGTAAAGTGGGAATTCAAACAGCGAGACTGCAAATAGTTCTGTTCAACTATCCAACAAAAACTTAGTAACATGGTTGTCAATACTATACACTTAAACATACATGCAGTTGTCCATATCTTAATTTATGTTTAGATTAAACAAACTAAAGAAGGTTAAAATCTTTCTGAACAAAGAATAATTGCTGTATTTCACATTATAACACTCCATGATCAGCACTGGGTACTATAGTATCTGCTTTTTTAAATTTAATTTAAAGAAAGACTAAACAAAATAGAAAATGGGTAGAATAATACATAATTTCAAAGAAAAAAATAAATAGTAAGAAATCACTAGTTGATGATTACCGATTGTCTTCTTACAAATAGTTATTCAAGATACTAAAGTGGAGCATATAAAGTGGGGATTCAAAACAGTGAGACTGCAACCAGTTCTGTTCAACTATCCAACAAAAACTTAGAAATATGGTTATCAATCCTATACACTTAAACATACATGCAGTTATCCATCTTTTCAATTATGTTGAGATTGAATAAACCTAAGCAGGCTAATATCACTCTGAACAAAGAATAATACTATTGCTGGGTTTCACATTATGACACTCCAGTATCAGCACTGGGTATTTTAGTGTCTCTTTTTCTTCAAAGTATCTGTTCACTTCATCATGTGTCATATGATCAGTTCTCATAAACTGTTTATAGATTCTACACATGCATGAGTCTTAACATGTATTTCTATCCTTTCTATATTAGAGGGAGAAATAAAACAAAGCAAGGCAAAACAAAACATTCCTTTAAACACATGAAACAAAATAAACATGTAAGACCGTTGTACAAATCGTTCTACCATAGTTCCTGTGTTGTCTCTTGTTATCTCCAATAGAATTGGCTGTATCATCAGACATAGTATAATTGAATATATCAGTACATAACAGTATTAATAAAAACACAACTTTGTATATAGTATAGAACTTCAAAAACTGGCAGTTATCAAACCAGAATGTGTATCATAGGGTCTTGTCATCTTCAGTGTAGTTGCCTATACTCTCAGACTTGATACTATCAATCATATCAGTTTTGAATAAAATCTTCTCTGCCTCAGTTCTGTTATGCTCTTTTTTTGCCGTCAGTTGTCTGCTTAACTTCTTCATTCTGTTTTCTGCTCCATTCATTGAGGCCTCTCTGCCACTGTTCTTGGAGTCCTAGTACTTTTCTTTCTCTCTCTAGAATGCCCTGGAGTATTCTCTGTAGCGTTGGATTGGTGGTTTCAAATTTCCCAAGTTCCTCTTTGTCTTGGAAGCATCTTGTTTCTCCATTAATTTCTAGTGACAGTTTATCAGGGGCTTGGAATACTTCACCCCAGGCTCTTCTTGACTTGATGGTTTGTGTAGAGAAGTCTGCCATTATTCTGATGGGCCTTTCTCTGTAGGTTATCTGTTTCTTGTCTCTAACAGCTTTTAATATTCTGTTCTTATATTGAATTTCTGGGATCTTGATTATTATATGCCTAGGTGTAGTTCTGTTTTGGTTGTAGGTGGCTGGAGTTCTGTATGCCTCATATATCAGAATATCATTTCCTTTTCCTATATTTGGGAAGTTTTCCTTAATTATTTCTGTGAATAACCTTTGTAGTTCCTTTGTGTGTACCCCAGCTTCTTCATTCACATTGTTTATTCTCGTTATAGATCCTTTTGTCATCTTCTAGCCTTGTATTGTTACTCCTTATTTCCTTGTTTTTCTTAAAAAGTTTTTCCTTTCATACTCCCACATTGCAAAATTGTCCTCCAGTTTGGATAATCTATCCTTAGTTTCTTTCAAGCTGATTTGCCATGTTTCCATAGAGTTTTTAATTTCCTGGTGATTGCTTTGAATTTGCTTCATGTATTCTATATTTTTATATATTCTTCATCAAATGGTTCTCTCCTGTGTTTTAGTTCCTCCCTTCTTCCGTCTGTGTCTGCTTGAGGGGTGCTTAGTATCTCTTTTATTAATCTTCTTGCTTTATTTGGCTAAATATTTCACTTTTGAACTCATCTGTGAGGTCCCAAATATATCTCTTTATGTCCACTGGTGCTGTGTCTGATATTACATGTTTGCTCTTCTCATTCTCCTTTGTATTTACCTGTCCTGGGTCAATGTTCTCAAGGTTGAGGCCTGAGGACTTTTTGTTGTTGCTTCCTCTTCCCATCTTTTTGCTTCTTCCAAGAGGCCCCACTTTCTTTCTTTGTTAGTTACAATTCTTCTGAAGTGCGCTAGCTAGATGACCCTTCACACTGCAGTGTGCTAGTGAGTTGCAGGCAGGGACAGCATATGCCGGCCCCTCCCCTCCAGATCAGTTAAGCTGCTGTGGCCTGCACTACTGTATTACTTTGTGCAGCCTCCCCTCTGGACCAGCCAAATTTCCGAGGCCCCACTGGGCCAGTGTGGTTAGTATGGGCCACTGCTGCAGGGACTTGATCTCGGACAACCTATTGGGTCTCAGCCAGGCCACATGACCCAGGCCTACCTCACTCCACCAATCCCGTTTGGGAAGGGAACAACTGACTGAAGTCACTATTGACCATTGTACTTGCCAGTCCTGACCAGTCTCCGAATGTTGTCTGCCAGAGTTCTCCTATTTATGGAATGGCTCCACTCCCATCACTTACCACAGGTTGATGCAGGCACCCTGCCAACTCAGCTCTCTGTTCAGCTCACTGACCCCCAACACAATGTAACTGCACCTCCAGTGAGTGTAAGTGGCAGGACCTCGGACAGCTCGGCAAGTCGTGGTGGGACCCTGGCCAGTCATGGTGGGACCCTGGCCAGTTGTGGCGGGACCCCGGCAAGGCATGGTGGGACCTCAGCAAGTTGTGGCAGGACCCTGGCAAGTTACAGCATCAGCCAGCCACGGCAGGACTTCAGATGGTCGGCAGGTCATCTTAATTTCTTCTTGGGATGAGAGAATTCATCTCCCTCTGTTTGGGGCTCCCCACTCTGTATTACGTTGAATTCTAAGTTGACTATCTCAGGGAGCCTCTGTAGCCAGTTGTTATCTATCCGCCATCTTTTCTATCTGGCAAAAAATAGTTTTAAGAAAATGTAATTTAATTTCAAGAAGATATAAATCTATTTTATTTCAGAATCTCAAATATAAAAGGGATTAGTTGATTGGCAGCAATTTTTGTGTCAAATACTTTGATGAAAAAATTCTTAAAATTCTAATGAAATCTAACACTGAGGTTAAATCTAAGTGGGAGGTAATGTATTATTTGACACATGGCACCTGTCTCTGCTTGTCTATTTCTTTCACTGCCTATTCTGCTTCTGCCTCATAGTGCTTCCTCCTTTTTGTTTCCCAGTGTGTCACAACCCATTCCTCATCAGTGCCTTCTAGAAATTTGCCACAAACTCAAATTATCTAGCTGCTTTTAGAAACAATACATGAAGTATAATTCACTGCAAAGGCTGCGAATTAAAATGTGGCTAATTGTAAAATTCAAACAGTGATATTCACTTTCTCCAACATAACAGTAAGGGACATAAATACTCTAATAAGACATTTAACATATTGAATGTAAAACATTTACTGTTTCAAAAAGCATATATGTCATAGACATTATAATTTTTCAATATATCTAGCTACTAATACTACTAATACTACTAATACAATGGTAATGAGTTGAAGTCTGTAAATATGAACATTAAAAGTTGTAAAGTATAATATGCATATATTATTTAAATTACATCAATTACTCTGTGAATAATTGGCTTGGCCAAATAACTATGAATATTATAGCTACTGAATAAATGGTTCAAATGTAAACCCTAAACTCCAGATATCAGTTGCCAAGGAAAAGAATAAACTCCTAGGTTTATGCAAATAAGTCACTTTCTAAATGGAATTATAGAAATAAGATGGTTGAGGAGACAAAGGCTCTTTCCAGTTGCTGAATGACTAATGATTTCCTGCTTCCTTTGCCCATCTATGAAATAAGAATGGCCTTGAGTAAATGCTGAACTCTGAAATGGGATCAGATGTTTCCTTGTGAACCAACTAGTCAAATAAACAATCCATGTGATATTTCTGCTGCCTTTTATTTATCTAATGAACACAGATAAAATGAAAATTAGGAAGAAGGAGGAAGTCAGGGAGGTAAAATTGATCTTCTAGATATAGTATCTAATAAACTGAAAGGTTTGTGGTGATGACTCTATCTTCTAGAATTACTGTCTGCATTATAAAATACCTATTTTTTTTATTTTCAGCCTTTAGAAATATATTGAATATAAATTATTTTTAATGCTCAGTGTATTCTAACACACTTTAAAATCATTCAGTGTTAGAATTTGGAGTAATAGATTTTTAAGTCATAGCATATTCTTACTTCAGAAGAACATATAAAACACACAGATACACACGCATTCACAAAGACACCACATCTCAACTAAGTTTCCAGCCTTAAAAGAAAGGTATTGAAACTAAGGTATATATAATAACATGTTAAAGTATAACTTGTAAGTTCAAATAAACTCAATGTGAATTTTCATAAATGAGAAAAATGTGGTACATCATACTTTTTTAAAATGAAAGATATTTATTTAAATAGTTCTCTTTTATTAAGAATAACAAACATCATGTAGGATATATAAATGAAAATACTGATATAATTTTCAATTGAAATATAAAATTTAGAAAATATTTTCTTTTGCTCTCAGGAGATAAATTCTAGATTCCTCATATTAAAAGATATTATTTCAATGCTATAATATGTGAATTATTATTCTTCAGCATTTCCTGGAACTTGCGCAACCCTGGATAAATCTTCTTCATATTTCTTCTTGAGATTACTCAAATACATTCGTAAACTGTCTGGATCCAATTGAGAGTTTCGAGCAGTTTGAATAAGTCTAGTTGCTAGATGGTACACAACTCTCTGTCTTTCCATTTCAGGGGTACTCCTTTGGTTCTGCTATTATTAAAAATACATAAAAATTAAAAAAATAAATACTATGATTTTTAAGTTGATCATAGTTTAGCACTATTCTATTTCCTTTTATAGAAATATGGGACTTCAAGATTAAATAATACTCTTAGATAAATCAGCTCAATTCAACTAGCAAAAAATACATGGTAAGACTAAAGAAACAGCCAGCTGTGGTGGGGTACACCTGTAATCTCTGCATTCAGGAGGCTGGAGCAAGAGGGTGACCGTGAGTTCAAGACTAGCCTGGGGTACACAGTGACCGGAAGGCAACGCTAAACTACACTGTGAGACCCTGCAACCAAAAAAAAAAAAAAAAAACAAGAAAGAAATAGTATTTGGATGAATAAAATTCCTCATATAACTCTTACTACTTTATGACATAGTTTAATACTTTTGAGAATCACTTATTTGTGAAAAAAATCCACTAAAAAGATCAAATCCCTCAACATAGTACCAAAAAGTAATAATACAGATAAGTTCTAAAAATACCTCTTTCATTAAAAAAGGTATGGGAAACAGCACAGCTTGTGCCTACACAGTGAGCATAATTTTAAATGTCACCCAAGGATGATACCATGTTATCTTCCATTTTAATTTCTCATCATGCTTCTAAAGAGAATTTATATATAACAATTAATTATTGGAGGCTAAGAGAACACTGCCTGAAGGACAAAGTACATTTTAAAAATAAACAACATAAATAGCTTTTTGAAAGTAGCCTTCTAATCTAAAATGTACTTAAGCATACCTATGCGATAATATTTAAAACAGGGATGTTGAAGACCTTTAGTTGTTTGGTCCTTGAAGAAGTATCATGATTTGGAATACAGGTGAAGAATTTTTAATTCATACCTTTGTCTGAGCTACACAGAAAATAAAATGTTTTCAACCTTCACTGTTTATGGAATGTCTTAGTGAATTTTCCAGAAATAAAATCCCTTCAACTATTTGTCAATAACAAGCAATTCTGAATATTTTTCTACTTTCACTATAGGAAAAATGAGTAAGATTTCATTAGGTAGAACAAGATTATCACATATTCACCCTTCATCGATCTATTTGATATATTTATCAATTACCAATTAAACCATTATTTCAATTACACCTCTGTGCTGGGCCCCAAAGCTTGTGCTTTTTGTGTCTATAGAAGGGAGAAAACTGTATACTTGACATAATAACAGAACCCAAGGAGCTTACAGTCTTCTGCTGAAATGGCTTGTTTATACACAGTTGACCACAGTATTTACGAAAAGTCCCATAAGAGAGATACAAAATGCAGAGGAAGGGACTCTCATTTCCAGCTCAGATCAAGACAGGGTTACATAAAATGGAGTATGCTGAATGAACCTGATGGATAGAAGAGTCTAGAAGGAAGGTATTCTGGATAGGAAAAAAAAAAAAAAAAAACTAGAAGAGGCACATTAGAGACCATGGTACATAATCAGGTTGAAATAATGAAATGGCAAGTAATTAAACATGACAGAAATGTAAATTATGCAAAATTTAAGTGATGTGATGAAAGATTGATGTGATAATGATCTTTAAGCAAAAAGTAACAAACTTTAGAGTCAGCTGAGAATTGGGAATTCTGAGCCATAGAGAACCTTGAAAAAACATACGATAATTTGGTATCCTAAGTTATTCTAATGTAGCTAATTTTCAAATTATATTTTGAAAAATAATTACGGAAGACTTTTAACACTAGAAATGAAAATTCAGTTTGTAACCTAAAAGACTAAGATGTCAAGGAGAAATATGGAGAGTTCAGGAGAAAAGATGGAAGCCATGAAAAAGAATGAGATTTGAGACTACAGAGTTTTCAAAAGGAAACCAAGGGCAACAATCTTAGAAACAAGAAGTGAGTGAAAAAAGAAAAGGCCCTGGTAAAGGAAGGAAAGAAGAAAAAAATCATTGAGATAGGGAGACAACAACTTCTAGGAAAGAATAATCCCACAGCAGACAAGACTGGCCAGAATTAAGAAAGGAGAAAGAATGGTAATTTCCAGTGTCACAGATCAGAGAAGGTGAGAAATTGGGGAGGTGGGCTGAGATGTCTTTAATTAGTTGAGATTTAAGAAAGAAATTTCAGTGAGGGATGACAAGATTCAGTTTGCCAGTGGGAACAGAATAGGCAAGGACAGACTAGCCGTGAGTTTACAGTAAAGACAGTAAAGGGATAATAGTTTTAAAAGTAAGCTTAAAAAGGATTTATTGGGAAAAAACATAGATGTATTCATAGAAAAATGAAAATCCAGTGAAAAATATAAGAAGAAAAAGGAAACAGGTTATCTTAATGGAAAATGAAAGAAGTTAACCTTAAAGTGACTGAAAAAGTAATTTCTTCCTCCAACACAGGAAGAAAGAAAGACAAGAAACGGAAACTTGCCAAACAAAATATTTGCAGGAATTATGCAAAAGGACTCATCTAGACAATTTCAAGTTTCTTGGGGTCGGGGATATAGCACAGTGGCACAGTGTCTGCCTACCAAGTGTGAGGTCCTGAGTTCAATTTCTAGAGCCTCCCCCCAAAAGTTCAAGTTTCTTTAAAAAAGTATAGTAAACTATCTGAAGAATTAGGACAGAAGAGTAAAAATGTTTTGAAAGAGATACTGTAAAGTAGTTATAGAGCTGGGTATGGTAGTATATGTCTATCATCCCAGCACTTGAGAGGCTGAGGCAGGAGGATCGTTGCAATTTCAAGAGTAGCCTGGAAAATAAGCTCAAGGTGAGCCAGAAAGCATAGTGAGACTCTGTCTCAAAAAGACAAAAAAAGGGGTTGGGGATTTAGCTCAGCAGCATAAGCGCCTACCTTGCAAGCACACGTTCATGAGTTCAATCCCCGGAACTGATAAAAAAAAAAAAAAAAAAAAAAAAAAAGACCAAAAAAAAGTTATAGAGATCAATAAGAAGATAAATAATTATTCAGTTAAAAAAATTCACCTGAAGTTAGAATACATGAATGTACAGCAGATTAATAGGAGCCTCATTTGAACACTGTTGAGCACTGTTAGGAAAACCACAACCTAGAAGGCTAGCAGAGAGGAGGCCTGTAATTGGAATTTGGCAAGATGAAATCTGAAGAATTAGGTACTTTAAAATGAACACTGTTAACATTGTTGATGAAGGGATTCAAATTGGTTTTATTCATAAGAAGTCACAGAGACAGCCCAGAAAAAGAAGGGAAGAATGCAATAAAAATGGAAAGCTGATTAAAAAGAAGAAAGAAAACTACTATTGAAGAAATTTTCACACTGCACCCACCTCATGTTATTGAACACATTAGATTTTTAAAAAGAAACCTAATTTAGAAGATTTCCAAATTTTGAATCAACAGATGTGATTTCGTGCCAGGGCCAAGACTTCCAATGAAGTCACTTAGTATCTGTGGACTGGTAAACATGAGAGTAAAGATATCACTTTTATCATTACTGTTTATTAGTAACTACTGCAGTTACCATTAGTAACTACTTCATTACTATTAGTAACTATTTCATGAAGAGACATGAGGTTTACAAATGATAATGGAGAGAAAAGCTTCGAAGACTATAAAAAGCTAGGCACTATGTCTGTCCTTCGCAGTGATTATTATCTTAAATGCACATTTTATTATTAGGATGAGTGGAGGAGGGTTGAGGCAGGATCTTGCTACGTAGTCTGGGCTGGTCCTGACATCACAGGGCGCCTCCTACCTCAGGCTCCCAAGTACTGAGATCACAGGCATGCCACCATGACTGGCAAATGCTCATTTTAAATACATTTATTTTCTCATCATAAAGACAGTTAACAATACTTATTCTAGGAATTTCACTGAACTGTTATCTCCTATCATATTAGCTGTCTTGCTAAGAAAAGCTATGATGGGCCAAACCACAAAAGTTTTAAAAGGTAAGAGATTTTTTTGTCTATATAAATTAAGAATTAGATTTTTGTTTTAATTATTGTTTTACATATTTAGATCAAATTCTATACAAAATGCACACTAAAGCCATTTTAATTTGAAAATAATCCTTACTAAAAAGTTTTTACCAGAATCTGTCCTGTAATTTGAGTTGAGATTTCTTTGGCATCCACGACAATTGATGGTGGAAGTGATGACACTTCTGCAGCTTTTAATCCTAGAATTACATTTAAAAAGCTTCAATATTGTTATTTCCAGTTTTTCAAGCCTGTTTCAACCAATATTAACTTTCAAAGGTTTTAATTTTCCTTCTATAAACATTTCTGAACTCAATAATTCTCAAAATTAAGTTTTCCAAAACACTGGATGACAACTTTCCAGTTCTTATATTTAATTACAGATCTATCCATAAAAGGTAAATTATTTCACAAAATACCTCTGAATTAACAAGAAGGAAAGATACATGGAAAATAACACTGAAATTCTAATAGGAATTACAGCTGGTTAGTAGAAAGTAGAGGGATTTTCTGCACAAGTTTTCAAGAGAGGAGAAGGTACAGTCACAGACATAACCCTATAGACTGGAATTTCCCACAAGATTCAATGGTAGATGACTCATCTTTATGAAAATTAAAAGTATCAGCAATGTTTCTCATGTTTTCAGAATTTCATTTTATTGTATAAATGCCATATAGGCTTTTTATTGAGTGCCACATTTATATCATATTTATAAACAGCAGAAGGTCAAAAGATACAGTGAATGTTTAAGTTTAAAAAAAATTGTTACAGTAAAACACATATTACCAAAAATGATGGTTGTGTGCAAAGGGAGGGGAATATTTTGACTATTTCAGGAGGATTAATGGCATCATGTCTTTTACAGTAATGTATTTTTAATTTAAACATTCAGCATATGTTTTGAATGGCCCTCATTGATCGAATGTTTTATGGCAATTTCTATCAAACAAAAACATGACAGTGAGACCTCATCTACCGTATTCACCAGACTGGCACCGTGTGATTTCTGTTCTTGCCCAAAGTCAAAATGACTATAAAAGGTAAATATTTTGAACAGATTCAGGCACGGATGTATTTGTCTTCTTATGTATAAAATGTGAGTTTGACAAGAAAATAGTCTGAGAATATATCTATACATGTATCTAAATGAGCATTGCTTTGACTGATGGCAAGTATAAGGGAGAAGAAAATTGGTCTTAGTGAAATACATAGTGCTTCAATATTGCTTTGTTTGTTTTGTGGTGCTGGGGATCGAACCCAGAGCTTTATGCATGCTGAACAAGTGATCTACCATTACACTACATCCCTGCCTCAATATATAGGTTTAATTTCTGCATTCAGTACCATAATTCTTTTCTTCTGTAAGTCCTTTAGAAAGTTTATAGGTATACAGAATTGCTTCTTTATTTCTTGAGGTGTTCTTTACATGTTCAACTTCAAAATGCATATTCTCTACATTAGGATACAGGGCATCAATATGGCAAAGTTCCAGGAAATGTGTAGCAAACAGTGTAAATGCCTAAAATATATAAGACAATTGAATATTAGTGCTTTTTACATGAACTAAAAAATCCTACCTTAGCTATTTAGACCTAAAACTTAATTTTCCAACTAGCTTGGCAGAAACATAAGAATAAAACTAAAGTTGAAGACTAATATGATCAATCTATTTTAGTTCTTGAACTTTTTGAGGGGAAGTACTGGGAATCAAACTCAGGACCTTGCACCTGGCAGGCAGGCGCTTGTGCTGTTGAGCTATATCCCCATACCAATCAATGTATTTTAAAACACTCCAAAATTTCATATTCAATGAAGTAGCATATAATTATATTCAGTGAAGTACCATATAATTATGTTAAAAATGACACAGGAAAGAATAAATCTAAAAGTAAACCTTAAGAAATACATCTGAAGATATAAAAAGATGAAGTTTGTCACAAAAATAAAGCTATTAATTGAAGCAGTCATTTATTAGGGAAAATAATCCATATACACACATATACATATATACATACACATATAATCTTTTATATTTTACTCAACTTTTTAAAATCTCACTTTGAAAATAATTTCTCTCCCTATCAAACAGTTTTGGAAAGTGGAACCAATGTGTAGATTGTATTAGGTGCTTGAAATTCCCAAAGGGAATGGGTGATTTCTGTTTGCTTTTCATCATTTGGTTGCTTATTTATTTACTTGGCAGCACTAGGGATCAAATCCAGGGCAAACTTCACCGAACTTTTAGTGTTACTAAAGCAAATAAATATGAATAATCATTTATATTTTATGGCATTATCAGTGAGAAATGAAATAAATACATGACTTTTAAAAATTAAATATTAAGTCAATAAAAAGATATTTGCTTGGCAAAATAACTCAACATAAAAGACTGGCAACAAGGACAGGAAAGGTTTTACACACATGACAGAAAAATGAAAATTCTCAAATACTCACTTGCTAGGGTTTGAATATGATTTAAGCATATTTCCCACAGGTGAACTGTTAGGAGTTTGATCCTCAGTTGAGAGGGGATGAATCTTTATGAGGTAGGCTTAATGGGAGGTGATTATGTCACTGGGGCACTGCCCCAGGTGGAAGTCAATGTTGGCCTCTTTGAATCGTCTGAGACCAAGTCAATATGCAAAACAAGACTAGATGTTCAGTGCCAAACTAAATTTTGAACTTCTATTTAATGTTAGTTCCATTTAACAAAGTTACTCAGTGCCTATATTTTGTGAGTATTGTGCTGAGCACCAAGGAGACTAAGTTAGAAAAGTTTTAAACATTAAGATTCTTAAAAGTATGGGGCTGGGGATTTAGCTCAGCAGCATAAGCGCCTGCCTTGCAAGCGCGTGATCGTGAGTTCAATTCCTGGTACTGGTTTAAAAAAAAAAAAAAAATTCTTAAAAGTAGTAATACCGCACATTTACCACTACATTATTTATACTAGAAAAAAAGATTTCACTGAAACCACTGTTCTTAGCTATTATAGCATACTAGAGAAATGAAATGTATTTTTTTGGGTTCTCCAAAGAAAAAGACTAATTGTGTGTGTGTGTGTGTGTGTGTGTGTGTGTGTGTGTGTGTATAAACAAATTTATAAGGCTGACAAGTTTTAAGATCTGCAGTGTATAAGCTGAAGATCTAAGATAGTCAACGACATAGGTCTAGTGTGAACGCCAGAAGACTTCAGGTCTAGAAAACACCGATGAGCAGATTTTTCAGTCTGAGTCTGAAAGGAGTAAAGGAGTAAAGTGCTTCCAGACTGAAGGCAGTCAGATAAGGTGTCTATTGACTCTAGAAGTTAGTCTTTTTAAGGTTTCCATTCGTTAAATTGAGCTCACTCACACTGGGAAGAACCATCTGCTTTTCTCAGTCAAAAATTCAAATGTTAATCTCTTTCAGAAATATCCTCACAAACACACCAAAATATGTTTAACCAAATGCCCAGCTCCTGTGGTCCAGTCAAACACACAAATAACAAATCCACCTCTTCAAATGGGCACTACACACATTTTTTTACCCTATACTTAACCTCCAAACGAAGATAGAAATGAGATCATAATTGTACCTATAATCAAGAATGCATTAGCCACTTGGCCAAGAAGAGATAAAATCCTTGAGTGAAGTTTATTCTTTTCTTTGATATCTGTAATTTAAAAGTCATGGTGAAGAATAGAGATGTAGTTTAGTGGCAGAATGCCAGTTTAGTATACAGAAGGCTCTGAGTTCAATCTTCAGCATAAAAAGAAAGAAGCAAACAAAACTGTAACATAAAAGTAACATTACCAATGTTTAAGTAATATGATATAAAGTGAATATATCTTAAACTCCGTGATATAGTATATGAGAGAAAAGGAAATAAAGCTATTGACTTCATATATAATATATACACAAGCATCTTTATAACAAAAAAGAAGAAAGACTCATGATAAGTAAAGCCCTCATTTCTGTAGCTGGCAGTTAGTTCACAACTGCTCCTCCTGCATGCTCTCTTAATCCTTCACTTTCAGCAAGCTCTTCAGATGTTCCCAGCTCTTTGTCTAGTGGCAGGACACAGCTGTTTGCTCCTGTGAAGCCTCGGCCATCTGCAGTCCTGCCTGGATTGGGCTGTTCTAGTTTCCCATTGACCTTAATCACAGAGCAAAACACTAACGGACACCCGAATGAATCAACTTTCCATTATACAATAAAACACCTCGGGTACTCAAGTTTATTCTTATTTAAAAAAAAAAAAAAAAAAGGTTTTTTTAGCCTCACAGTTTTAGAGGTTTCAGTGGCCTGTGATTTTGGGCCAGCAGCAAGGCAGTACATTACAATGACCAAGTGTGGCAGAGGAAGTTGCTCCCCTCCTAATGGGTGGAAATTAAGAGCAAGGAGTGGAGCTAGCATCCCAGCATCTTCTTCAAGGGCTCACCCCACTGAACTGACTTCCTTCCAGTAGGCCCAGCTTCTAAAGATCCCCTAATATTCCAAAAGAGCCGTGAGCTAGAGTAAAGCCTTTAGCACAAGGGCCTTTGTGGGACACTCATCCAAACACAGGATAAAGGCACTGCTGTTCACTGCATTTTGGGCTTTTCTGAGATAGTTCCAATCAATCCACAGTTCAGGAAAATTTCTCCAAATGTTAAGAAATATTTATTCTGATTATGCAGTCTGGAACTGGAGAAATAACCACAGGATATTTGGGGGGACATGCTGATCCTGCTGGGAGATACAATGGAGCTAAACTTCCATTGATAACTTGACTGGTAAGGCCCTAATCTGACTCAGAAACTACAGCAATAGTTTGAGTCTCCTTGGATGAGTATAAAATTTTTTTCTCATTCTATATAATAAATTATCACAAACTCTTAAGGCAAAGAACTCCATCTTACAGACATTTTAAGGTATTTTAAATATGAGAAAATATCTCCATTTTTCACATATGTATGTATTTTGAATGATCTAAAAAGACTGATTTACAAATTAGTTTAAAAGTAGAGCAAAAATCATTGTTTTATATGACTGATTTGTTAAAAACTGTTTTCTTTAAAATAATGAAATTTTATACTAGGTATCCTAGTACATTAAGTCATTTGTGACATCACAGACATTACTGCATAATGAAAAGTTATTAAAATAGTCATTTTGCTATTTAATTTGATTAAATTAAAACCAACCAATCTTTACCTTATTTGTATTTCTTGATTTTCTCCTTTCCTTATCTATATCATGGGTTCATACTAATTATTCTTACCTTCAGTGAGAATTCAAGTACTAAAACATAAATGTTAGACGGTTTTTACCTAAAGTTGTTTCAAAAGTTATTTTTGGTGCCATACATTAGAAAAGGACTAAAACTTAATCCATTCAAAATAAATGGGGATGTTTACCTTTAAGTTCAGCAGATATTCACAAACAGCATAACAAATGCCAATGCCTTCTTCTGTATTAGTACCTCTGCCAAGTTCATCAATTAATATGAGTGATTTGTCATTAGCATTATGTAGAATATATGCTATCTGGAAAATATAATTTTGCTCTTATTCATTACAACCAAACAGCTGTCACTATTGTAGAAAAAATGAAGAGAAACTCAGTCTCTTTTATTAGTTTATCTGAAACGCATTTTAATAGAGAAATCCTGCTGAGCAGAAAATAACTCACTGCCTTTCTCAAAATCTCTTTCTAATAATTCCAAAAGAACAGAGGATATATGTAGACATATGCACATGTATATGAGACAAAAAGAGTAAATAATCATTATCTAAATTATTGATGTTTTAGATATAGTAAAATAAAACAAAGCAGTGACTCAACTGTTTAAATAAACCACAAAGATGGTCATTTTCTTCTCTGCAAATGACTAATCACTATCATGGAATGCTCAAAGCCATTTCACAAATTCACTATCAGATTTACTACCACTCTATAGCAATAAAGAAGGAAATAAAATTTAGGGGAAAGTATCCATGTCTTAGTAATTGCTTGCTTACCAAATAAATTTAAATCTTTAACCACAAAGACTAAGTAAAAATTAAACTGATATAAATTCTCCTTCTTCCTTGAAAAATATTAACTCCTTTCTCAAAAGACAGAATTCTACCCACGTTATATTTAACACAATAGTAACTTTAATAAACATTTTACCTTTCTCTAGGACTAAGCTCCTTGAAGGCTAGAATTGCTTAAAAATGTACCTCAAGCACCTAGCACATTGCTATATTCCCACAGACACTTGACAATATTAAGTAATTATATAAATCATGTGACAAATAGTTTTACTTATCTCCTCTCAGTTTGCAGAAAATTATTCATAGTGACCCAATAATTCTTATTTAATACAATTATCCCAAGAGTCATACTTAATTCCCTTAGTCTTCAAGCCTACTCAATGTTTTATGAGATCAGAAATAGGGAAAGATACATACTCTGGAATAGAAAGTGAAATTCTATGTGTGTGAGGAGGGTACTAGGGATTAAATTCACAGCCTTGCCCTTGCCAGGCAGATGCTTATGCCACTGAGCTAAATTCCCAGCCCTAGAAAATTAAAATTCTATGGTAAAAATTACAAGGATTTTTAAAAGCCTTCGAACAATTAACTTTTATTTTAAAAACAAGCCTAAGAGGAGCAATCCATACAATGCAAAATGGTACTGAATATATCATTGTCTTAGGAAAAGCCTTTTAAATATTCCATATAAAACACATAAGCACACTTTTATCATTCAATAACATTAGCTTTTCCTTTTTAAAATTATATTTTCAGAAAATATTGACTATCATTTCCACCTAAGACAGAATTTAGGAAGCTGTCTTTGACTGCCCTCTGGCTCCCAGAAGGAGTATAAGCTCATCTGTAAATTTTAATATACAGATAGTTTCTTACAGGATAATTATCATTAACGTAAAATTTAAATATTAACGTAAGAAAAGTTTTGTTTGGGTACCTCTTTCATTTCTTTCATAAATGTTGATGAATTTGTTTCAATATCATCATCAGTACTGATTCTGGTAAAAATCTGTTCAGCGATTCTAAAGGAAGAATATTCTGCTGGGACATAGGATCCTGTAAAATCAAAAGTCAAAGTACATTGAACAACGTTTTTTTTTTTTTTTTGTACTTGGAATCAAATTTGGGACCTCACATTTGCCAGGCAGAGACTGTCCCACTGAGCTATAGACCCTTAAATGTTTTTTAAAAATACAAGTATTAACAATGTCTGCACTTCTTAGTTCATTTATCCAACTGTGAGGCTGGAAAGAACAATGGATGTGGAGTTAGAAAATTCGGTCCCAACTCTATCACATATTGCATACCTTGAACATTACTTTAAACTCTCTCAGTCTCGTCTCTGTCATTATTAAAGTAGGAATTGTTGTCCTACCTACTGCATGAAGTTATTTGGAAGCTCAAATAATATAGTACATGCTTACATCAGAGATTATTTTAAATGTGGTAAAAATTTTAAATGATATACTTAATTAATAAACAATTAAAATATAATAATAAATAATAACATTCAAAATAAATTTTGAAGGGAACTCATAAAGTTTATAAATTCAATTTGAAGCAATGCTATTAATGCTCAACTGATAAAACTATGACAGAAAGATATATTAGAAACTGTTATTAAACTGTTATTAAAATATGCAAAAATATCCAAAAACAGAATAAAAGTAAAACTTTTAATCAAAAGAAAAAAAGATAAAATTTTCACCCACAAGACAGTTTTTACCTGAAAAGCTCTTATGCTAATTAATCTAAAATATTCATCTTTTGAACACAAATCAATCTGATTAATGTATCTATCTCTCTACATAATGGGCTATAAAAGGCATATTATTGTCAAAAAATATATAGTAAAACAGTTGAACAAGAGAAAAACATCACAAAATTCTGGATATATAAAATGATGAAATAACTGGAGCCAAAAACAGCCAGATCACACTGGGTTTTAAAACAAAGACTGAAGAATAGAGCCTAACGCTAAGGAACAAAAATTAGCAGGAAAACAAACTAAAAGACTAACAAAACTAAAAGTAATCATAGTAGTTATAATGACTATATCTGTTCTTCTTAGACATTTTAATTTCATTTTCTCTGCTTCTCAAAAATAATCCATTGAAATTGGTAAATATCTGATTTTTACCTATGAAAATGTGAAGACTTACAATAAAACTAGTAACATGTAATTCTGCTATGCTACTCTATTTTTAAGATTTTCTTAAAACCAGGGATAACAAACTTAAAGCAGCTTCTGATATGTCACAATTGTATGATAGATGCTTGCTAAATGGCAAAGCAAGCAGTAGAGCCAGAATTTGAATCAGAACTGTCTGGCTCAAAACAAAACAAAAGTCTATTTCTCCAATACTATGCAAAAGGAACGACCTGCTACCTTCTTAATACTCTGGAGAAGGATAGACAGCTTGTTAAGAGTAAAAATTCTGGAGTGAGACTGCCTGGGTTTGAGTCCTTCCTGTTACAAGCTATGTGATCTTTGACAATAGTAATGAGTAATTATCTCTCAATGCTTTACTGATCTACAGTATGCAGGTAAGAGTAACACATTAACTTTTATGAGTATTAATCAGGTATACATATATTATAATAATACATGCAAGGTAGACAAAACAGTACCTGGGAGAGTAAACTGTAGGATTAGCTATTATGGCAAGTGGAGTAGACTAAGGCAAAGAACTAACACTGAGTAACTATGGGGAAGTCTTTGAACCTGACCTTCCTCGTTATATAGACATTTAATATTTATTAAAGGTCTACTATGTTCTGGGGTAAATAAAACAGACATGAACTCAGTCCTGTGAGAACAAAAATTATTACTCTCTTAAATAGAACTTTCTTAACAGGGTTTTCAGAAATACTAAATGGAAAAATGAATGTGAAAGTGACAGGTAGAGAATACTGCATATATTATTAATTGGTACAGTTGTATTTCTCCTCTCTTTCTTAGCCTCCACCAAAAGTCTTCAACATTTCTTATCTATAAGAGGTGACCAAAGGGCTGGAGATATAGCTCAGCAACTGCTGGCAAAGTGCAAAGTCATGAGTTCGATCCTCAGCAACTCCCAATAAAAAGAGGTGATCAAAATATATGCTGAATACAAAAATGACAGAAAAACACACACTGCCATTGCACCTCTGCAAATACTCTCATTTGCTTCAAACACACTTACTTCTGGAAGTCCTTTTTCAGAGGTCTTTATGGGGTGTGATCAAAAATACAAGGCATGCTGTGGAAAGACAGGCTTGTACAAAATAAATTAAAATGTGTCCTCATCCACAAAGGTAAATGTTTTCAAACAATTCAGGACATTGAGGCAGTCACACAGTGCAACTGAAGACATTTATGAAAAGGATTTCATGAACTGCTTCAGGAAGTGGCAAGAATGATGAGCTAAGTGTGTTTGAAGCTAAGGAGAAGATTTTTGAGGAGGATTAATGGCAAAGTGTCTTTTACTGTTATAAAATTTTAAAATTTAAATATTAATCATATCTTTCAATCACACTTTGTGTTCAAAGGCTTCTGACTCGGGCTTCGCTTCTGGTCTGACTCTAGTCTGCAAACAAGAGTGATCTAAGTGAAATCTGATCATGCCATTTTCTTGCTAAATTTCCTCAGTATCTCCCCATGGACTGCTGGATAAAGTTCAGTCCCCTCAGATAAGTGTTGAAGGCCGTTCATGATACAAGTCCTATTGGCTTCTGTGGTTATTCTGCCACTTCTCATGCTTAGTCCGTCTGTCTCTGCTCAAAAATGCAAAAGAACTACAAAACTGGGGACTATTTGTTGTTTCTAGAGCATATGATACATCATGCTATTTTTTTCCCTATGGTTTAGGACATAGTTTTACATCTGCCTGGAAAGTTCTCTCCTTTGTTATACCTGTCTCTTCAGCCCATAGCTTAATATATTCATTGTCTCAGTCCTTACAACAATTCTTTAAAAATAGGTACTATTGTCATCTTAATTTGCAGTTAGGAAAACTAAAGCATAAAGAGGTTAAGTAATTTGCTTAAGATTACATAGCTAGCAACTAGACAATGCAGATTTACCTCCAAAGTCTAAACTGTTAACCTCAATGCCCTTCAAATTCCACTGTTTGATTAGCCCTAAAACCTCATGAGATATGATATACACTTTAAATTGTTTCAGAGGCTTAAAATGGGCAGTGACAAGAGACGTAGAATAATTATCTTTAAATATTTGAAGAACTACAATCATAAAGAAAGACTAGGTTATTCTGTGATAGAAGAAAATAATTAGTATTAGTAAGTACAAGTTATAAGTCAGATTTCAATCCAGTATCATGACTGCTTTATCTATACACATTAAATAGCCTGTGTTTTAAAAAAGCAGAGCTCCTTTTAGCTACTCAAATAGCATAGGATACATCATGTCACATATGAACCAAACAGCTCTTATAGTGGAAATAAAAGTAACTAAGATGTTCTTTTTTTTTTTTTTTTTTTTTTTTTTTTTTTTTTTTGTCTTTTTCCTTTTTATCGGTACTGGGGATCAAACTCACGACTGCCTGCTTCCATGGCAGGGCTTATGCCGCTGAGCTAAACCTCCAGCCCCAACTAACATGTACTTTAATTCTAACAAAATTCTAAATTTTGTGAGATACTTAATCTTCATTCATTTATTCACTGATTTCTGATTTCTTGCCCAGAAGTAAGGGGAATTTGCTCTGTATCACCAATGTTATTGCTATGTTTCCTTAGAATCTGTAACATTAGACCAGGGTTTCTTACTCATGACTCTACTAAATTTTGGGCTCAATTATCTTTCTTACATGCTGGTGAATGGGGAAAGGGAGAGAGAAGGAAGCCGTCTTGTGCATTGTAGGATGTTTAGTAGCATCCTTGGACTTATCTCCCTAGTTATGACAACCAAAAGTGTTTCCAGACATTGCCAAGTTTCTAGAGCTGAAGGATAAGAAATCGAAACCACTCCTGGTTAATAACAACTACATTAGGGCCAAGGATTGCATTTCTGATTTATATTGTACTGAAAGAAGCCCAGTTTGCAGAAATAAGAGTTAAGTTATGCTTGACATCAAGAGATGTGTGACAGTGCTCGGCCAATGACAGCCATTTATATGTGTGTAGGCAGACAGTGTATGTACACGTTAATACCCCAATTGCTACTGACAGCCCTCAAGTTAAGGGAAGTTTCTCTGCCTAAAATTAGAATTTCAAGGAAATCTCAAAAGAGTTATTAAAGGTAGTGGTTTATCCTACTCATTTCATTCTTTTCACAACAAGATTCACTTTTAAACCTGAAATAATTATGAGTTAATATACTAATACAATAGAACATTGTTTCAATGAGAAAGTTTCTAATTCCATAATATTCCAAAATGAATATTATATTATTAAAATTTGGAAATGCACTCCAAATTGAATGGAGCTGTAGAAATATCATTAGTCAAAGATACGGTCTACATAATAGATATATTATTGTACCACTTAAGTAAGAGAATCTACTTCAAACTTTTCTTAGGTACATAAATTTAAAAACTTTAGCACAAAGTATCTGAAAATTCAGCAGAATTGGTAACTATAAAATAAAATCAGAACTTACCAATCTGGGCCATAATTTGACAAAGAGCAATCTGCTTTAAATATGTAGATTTCCCACTCATATTTGGCCCCGTTATGATCAAAAAATTACTGCCTTCAGTTATATAGGTATTGTTGGCAACTGGTTTTTCCACAGATATTTTTTCAAGAATGGGATGCCATCCCTGTTTGATTGCTAAAGTATCAGTAAACTCTGGCCGAACTGAAGAAAAACACAGGAGGTTTTTAAAGATTAATATTTTTATACCTAAAGATGTGGTATGCATAGCTGGGCATACATTAGTGATTTTATCAGGGTCAATTTGGGACAATAATATTAATGCATTATTTAATCCCAGATCACCACCCAATCACCTTAAATTATAATGGATACATTCTAATCACTTTTACTGTATTCATTTCAGAGAAATTGAATTTAGCTCCTTGACACTGACTTGAGATTCAACACAGCTTACAAAAATTTCAGGCTTGTATAGATTAAAAAAAGCCAGGTAACCACTGATGTTATCTTTAAAATTTTACTACAGAACTGACTGTTTGCTCACCCTAACTTAAACATTATTTTAAATTTGGCATGCTTTGCTTTTAAAATGAGGCTTAAGTATAAGGCAAAACCAAATAAATATAATTCTCTGTCCTACTCTATGGGAAAACTTTTTCTAAAATGAAATTTCAGAGGATAGAGAAAATCAAGCACACATTTGCTGAATTATAGAAACAAATAATGATCAGGTCTGTATGGACATTATTTGTGGTAGAGGGAAAAAGGAAGAGGGTAGAAAGACTAGTGAAAACTAGAATGCTACCCACCTCTAAATCAAATTCAGGGATAAACTTGAAAACATTCAATATAAAAGTAAAGTTATTTGGAAAAAATATAAAGAGCTTTTGAACCATTCATTATATTTTGGAATTTATGATCCCTTTCAATCTAAAATTAGACAATTAAATCTCTTAATAGTTAAGAAAACTACGACTAGAATAGCTGATACCTAAGGTAAGGCTTTTACTCTCAGAGAGATACAAAAGATTTAGAAATGTCATTATAAAATGTCAATGGGAAAAGTTAATATTTTCATAAGAAATAAGGAAATGTGAAAAAATCTTTGTAAGTTACATCTTTAAAAATAAATTAACACAATAATTTGGAAATGGCACTTCTGATTTTAATTAGAGATCTCAGTGTTTTTAATGTTATTAAGTCTACAATTATTCAAACATAATCACCTACTAGGACTGTAAATTTGCATGTTAAAATATGGTTATTAATGATAAGCTGGATAAGAAATTTCAAGGGGCTAACTTGATTAAAGTACTCTTCAATATTAAAAAATTACTTAAATTTGTATTCACGGTCTGTGGATAGACTTGGAATACAAAAGTAAATGATATACTGCTGATTTTAGTATGCACATATCTAAATAGCAGATGAAAATTCTGACTGTGGCCACTGATTTTTCTACAGTGATACTTCACAACTCAGTTCATTCTGCACTTGAACCAAAAAGTTCAAAAGCTGAATGTATTTTTCCCATAATAATGAAAACCAAATAATTGGTTCTGACACCAAAAACTACACAAACACTGTATCAATGGTGGTGAACCTATGGCACATGCATCATGTTACTGTGTTTTTCTTTCAAGACAAAAGATGTTAATGTTGGATTTTTTTATTTTTGTTTTTGTTTGTTTGTTTTTTTTTACAAATACATAAACTAAAACCCTGGTATTCAGTCAGGCTTAGTTGCAGTGTTTGTACTTTGCAGTAAATAAGTACATTTGGAGTTACAGTTTGGCACTCATTCTCTAAAAGATTTGCTATCACTGCACTACATTTGTCTGTGCAATAGTGACATTTAGACTAAGTGTCACTTCTTTGTGTTGGTGTCAGATGCAACACATGACTCAATCTCAGCCCACACAGGTATGTATGTATGTACATACGTATGTGTCTATGTACGTATGCACATATGTATGTACCTGGTTTTTTGAGACAGGATTTCAGTATGTTGTTCAGGCTGGTCCTGAACTCACTATGTAACCTAGCTTGGCCTCAAACTTGCCTCAATCCTCCTGCCTCAGTTTCCCAAGTGCTGGGATTGCAGGCATGCACCACTCACCATAATTGGTGCCCATACAGATTTTTTTCAAGTTAGATTTTCGGTTGGACTGTTGAGCAAAGTAATGAGCATTGAGGAGTTTTTTTTTTAACTTTGCTGTACAAATAGTGGAAGGTTTGAGTGCTGAGCCATTCAGCAACTGAGGTTTCACTTAGGACCTGCGCACTGTTTCTTTGAGTAATCAGATGTGAACTTTAGAAATTCGGATCAGTGCCATTTTCACCAAGAAGACAGCTTTGCAGTCTTATTTGAAAAACTTCAAAATTTCTTGCAGTTCTTTTTCATCTGTCAATTTCTAAGTAAGTAATTTTTTAATGTTAGAAGAAATTTTAAGGATAATTTTATTCTATTTTGTGTATTCTAGACCATAGGCAAAAGACTACATCTCAACTAAAGTATGTAAAACATTCATAACTATTATATAAAATTTTTGAATGGAAATACACTGAAGTATACAAAATCTTTATTCCAAAGAAAGTACCTTACCATAGTCAGACAGAGTGCAGGCGTGAGCAAATGACAGTAGCATATCCAGCATGGACACGGTGTCGGAGAGTTTGTACAAACAATGAATGTGTTCATATATCTCACTAAGCAGTTTACACACGACCCTGGAAGTACATGTTGGGTAAAACATGCAATGCTTTTTACAAAATAATATCCAACATCATTACAAAACCATATTAAACTCTTTGCTTGAAGTAAAATAATATTTATGGTTAAGGTGTGCAATATAAGTCAAGTCTGCCTTTCAGTTATCTTGTTTTAGAGGTGAGGAAATTGAAGCTCTTGCTCAATGTCACAGCTACTTAGTGACAAAGAATCCACATTCTGGTGTATTAACACCATGTTTTTGAAATGACTGCCTTTATTAAATATTCAGAAAAACATTTCATTAATAAAATAGATTGAATCAAGTACTTATACTTGGACAGTTCTAATCTGCTAATAATTTTGTTTTTGCAAATGTTGGCTTCAATACAAGTTGAAACTGTTTTGAAATGCCAAATTTTCTCTTTATTATTTGAGCTAATCAATTCTAAACATTCTGTTCTAACTATATTATTATTCTTTCAGGAGCAGCAAAAGAACTGGCACTACTGTGATTTTGCTACAGAGATATTAATTTAGGGTCTGAGAAATTGAGGGCTTACACTACACATAAAAAGAAGACACTGAGTGAAGTCCAAGATATGCCAAATTCTACATCATGGGGACATGCATATTAGAGAAGTATAACTTTCAATGGTACTTTGTTTTGCAATTAGATTTGCCTTGAAGTTTCTGTGAGGTTTATGGGTCTTTATCACAATGATACTTACTTCCCTACCATTCATAATTCTATAATTATCTGTAATCAGAAAAAAAGTCAATGGGTAAATTTTATCTATGGTTCCTTACATTAAACCTATTTAACTCAATATTCAAATATTTCAAACGTTCTTACATATAAGTCATGTGATAAATTTCTCTCAAAGATTCTTGGCATCTTTCATTCATTTTAATTAAATCTGTTGATGTAAAGCTGTAAGAATTTTTCACTTTAGAAATCTGTCATGAAATCAACAAAACAAATGTCAAGATATATACACATGTATATGAAATAAAACACAGGTATATACAATATAAATGGACATTTTGGTTAATTACTTTAATTCCTGAGATATACTATCATAATGAATGTTCTAAATAATACATTCATAAGCAGATGATAGTTTCAAAGGATAGCAAGTTATTTTAACCTATGCCAGACAACATGAGTATTTTGAGTAATTTTTAAATATTGTTGCAGAAATCTTTAAACAATACATCTCATATAACAAATAACATGCATGATAGTCCTCCATATCTGACTTTCACTCAATCACTGGCCCCATTCAACCCTTTCTTTATTTTATCCATCCCTCTTTGCTTAGTAACTCTGTCTGTCTGTCTGTCTGTCTGTCTCTCTCTCTCTCTCTCTCTCTCTCTCTCTCTCTCTCTCTCTCTCTCTCTCTGTGTGTGTGTGTGTGTGTGTGTGTGTAAATTTGAAAGCTTTTTTGTCAAAGGTACCCCTTGGAAGTAAAGACAGCAAAGACCAAAGTGAGTTAGAATTTCCCAAGCTGGTATATTGTGGAAAAGTTGGTATGTATGCAGAAAGAAGTATTTCCAGCCAGGGGTGCGCAGTACTTAGAAGGATGAGGCAGGAGGATTTCTGTGAGTTCAAGGCCAGCCTGTCTTGTCTCAAAAAGAAAAAGTATTTCTATGACTCAAAGATTTGGAGAAGTTTGATTTAAAAATTCAAGGAGATTTCTTTACTCCAGGACTCCAGGAAAATCTTTAATAGGAAAATGTATCTGGAGAAGTACTTACAAGACTGGGCAATTTTTTTTATAATTCATTAAAAATAGCTTACAGACTTTTTGTCTTCATTTATCTTTTTTTCTCCACCCAAACTCCTAAACTGTGGGACACAATGAGTTTTGTTTTTCTCCAAGAAAGTTTCCAAATTACTTTTAGGATTACATGGGTGGATTGGAGTAGGAAGAGAAGCAACATACACACATTCAGAAATTTGGCATATAAAGCCCAAGGAGTTGGGGAAACACAGGTATAACTACAAAACCAGGAACAATAATTTCCTAATCACTCTAGAATGAACCTTGATAAATTCAGAAGGAAGCTGATCATTGGGTAACACTGTATAATCTGTAGTCATCTGGATAAAAAATCCTCGAGCAGAGCTAAAACTTGTCCTTAAAGGAAGATTATATTTTTCTGCAAGTTGTGATATCATTCCTAGTGAGCAGAAAGAACAAAATAAAACCAAAGGATGTTAATAAGAATATTATTCTTTCCATTTAAAGTCATCATATTTTTCTTGTATTTTATACATCAATAAGAAGATAATGTTATTTTTACTTTAAAATTTTTAATATCCAGAAGATGTGGTTAGATACTCTTAAAAACAAAGCAGAATGGTTTGTGCTTTTATTGTTTCATTTTTTCACTCCTTGGTCTTATAATCTTAACAACTACTTTGAAGATAACAATATGCAACATAGTAACCATTGTTGTATTTACCATTCCTATTGTTTTGAAATTCTGTATCATCGTTTTGGTTCTTTTTTCACTTTAAAATTTAAAAAAGGGGCTGGAGATTTAGCTCAGCGGCATAAGCGCCTGCCTTGCAAGCAGGCAGTCGTGAGTTCGATCTTTGGTACCAATAAAAAGAAAAAAGACAAAAAAATAAAAAACAAATTTAAAAAAAGTAAATGCATTCCTACTGATAGGTATTCAATGTTTTTTTTTTTAAATTGGAAATTGAACTCAAGACCTTGCATTTGCTAGGTAGGTACTGCACTGCTGAGCTATATCCTAGACCTTGATAAGTATTCTTAAAGAAAATAAATAATAAATCTTTTTAAAGTACTATTTTATACTGTTATATTCATTTTTATGCTATTCCATTTTTATAAAAGAGAACAGTCACATTAATTACTGACGTCATAAATGCACAATAAGAAAGTCTCTCTTCTAAATTTATGACAAAATTTTTCTTCAAATAAATAGACGGTTAACCAAATAAAACTCCCTTTTAATAAATGTAAATATCTATAAACTTCACACACATTACAGAATTCTAAATTTCATCCCTAATTTTATGATCATTAATTTTGAATATTACTTGAAAAACTCAACATTTTCATTACTCAAAATATTTCCTTCAGGTCTTTCTACTTTTCTCAAAGGTACACCATTCTTGGGGCAGAAAAATCATTTAGCACTAATGAAACATTTATCTTTACCATTACTTTATAATTAAATTCTATCACATTTTCCATCCATCTTGGCATCCTTCTGGACTCATGCACATTATCCTATCCTATCATCCTAAATAATGTTAAGGTTACAATAGTCTGAATCGGCCTCCTTGTCTCCATTTCACTCAAGTTCATTAAACATATATTTTAAATAAATTTCACTCTATAAGGAAAAATCTTCTTACTACCTCTTATTACTGGGAAAAAAATTCACACTCCTAGCTTTGAAAGACTCTTTGGATCCAAGCCTACATTTCTCGTTCTCTCTCATTAGTTCTACGATGCAATGTCTGATTTCATCCTAGAACAGATTTCTCACTCACTCCTTCAAGTCTCACTCATTCCTTCAAGTCTTTGTGCTTCAGCTGGATTTATTGCTAGTGATGGAATTCCTCTCTCGGCTATTCCATCAAAAACTTTCTGTCTTCTACAGGAGGATCCTCTACTGTCAGATTCCCCTAATCTGCTATATTTTTCTTCATATATCTTGTATCCATGTGAAATTATAGTATCTAAAATTGAAATCTATCAATATTAGTATAGGTACACATACACATAAACATGTATGTATGCACGAGTGTGTTTGTTCTTTTATATTGTCTGTCTCTCCTATTATAATATTAGCATTGTGAGGACAGGAACTGTATCACTTTCCATATGTGTTCCCAGTACCTAGATTCCTGTCTATAGTAGGAGCTCCATACATATTTATTTTAAAAAATTACTTCTGTTAATGAGAAAGGGACCATGAGATGGAGGAAAGGAGTGGGTGAGGTAGGGAAGATGACATAAAAACAATTAAGATGTGCTATGTACATTTACCAATTTCCCATGATAAATGTAATCGTTATATGCTGCAAACGTACAGATAATTTTTAAAAAATTACTACACTGGCTAAAAAAGCCACCAACTCCAGATAAAACTGGTATCTCTCACTGCTGAAATCTTTCAGTGTTTGTAGCCTACATTTTTAATATAATTTATACACAACGTTGGATGATAACATGTTTGGGGTAAAGAGAAATTGTAACACTTTCACAGTGCTTTTTTTAAAAAAAAGAATAAGAGAAAAATAAGGAGAAAAAAGACTCTTTAAGTGCAATATGTGTTTATGTGGTCTATTTTGAAATAAAAAATATGTATGATGCATTATCAACTAGGATAAACCTAAAAAGTTCATTTTGTTCATAAAAATCAGGAAAAAAACATACTGAAATAAATTACCTGCTATGTCATCCACAATCTCTGTATATGTCCTTCTAGCTATGTCAAGAAATTCATTTATGTTAGACCTCACTGCATAACACTTCTGGGTCCTCATATTTAAGCATCCTTTCATGTATCTTGCATCATCATTAATTACTGTTTTAATCTTTTCAAGTATAATTTCAAACCTAACATTAAGGTAAAAAGAATTATAGTTTATAAGTCAAACAACTATTTAAATTTATAATATGTTATATGATTCATGTTAATGATAGCAAATCTTTTGTTGAAAGCTATTTTGAAATAATTAAGCATTAAATATTTTATTTACATGTTACAACTGTGACTATATCAGGTTTAAATTATTTCATCAGGATTAGTCTAAAATAGCATGAACCCTCCAAGAGTACTTCTAAGATCTGCTGATATATATATATATATTTCCCAAGTTATAATACTGATTTTGTCTGTGAATATAAAATATATCACTAAAGAACTGTTTTTACAATAGTAGCTTTGTGTTTATACACTCAGTAAACACTACATGTAGCTAGGGTTTCCTTAGGCAGGGAGAACCACAGAAAGACAGCATATGGCCCTCGTCCTCAGTACTGGAAAGAGAAGCTAAGCACATATTGTGACACAGCATAAAAGCCGTGTTACAGCTATGAATAATGAAATGCAATAATTAGGCAAAACAGAAACCTGGTAACACCTATTTTCCTAAACTTTTCCTTTTTTTCTTATTTGTAATTAACCTGGTTTCATTAACTTTAGTTTGTGATCTCTTTCAGATATCTGTCTTGAATCAATAAAACTGTCTTTAGAGTGAAGAAATAAGATAAATTATTGCTCAAAACTTAACAATATTAAACTAGACTTAAATATTAGCTTTGAGGACTGGAACTTTATCATGTTCACTATGTAATCCTAGGACCCAAGTCAGTGTCTACAGATAGTAGGAGCTCAATATTTACTAAAAGAATTGTATATTTATTTAGAATTATCTATTAATTTTAGTTACCTTAGGACTTTCCTGATTTACCAAAGGATAAGAATATATATTTATATTTTTAAGTCTTTTAATGGGAAGTCATTAAAAAAGGAAATATAAAAATTCTCCCTGGAGTTTAATTTTTCATGCTATTCTCATTGTATTTATCACATTTATAAGACGAATATATAATTATAACTTTAATGAACAGTTTAAAGAGTCTCCTTAGCCAAAACTCAAGTAACTATTCCACAGAATATAATGAAAATCTTTAAAATCAGGTATGATCAAAAAGAATAGTAATCTGATATTTTATCAACACTGGAATGACAATGACCTCGTGTCTTCTAAGGAACCATAGTAAGCTCTTAATAAAGGTGTGGTACAGTTCTTCAGAGCAATCTGTTAAAGAATAAAATAAAAAGTACTTATGTATAACAAATTATGACATTATTCAAACTCAGCAATTCATTTCATGTAATATCACACTTTATGGTTTACCAAGTACTTTCTTGTTTTATTTTCTCATTTTTGTGCACATAAAAATATTTCAGGTATGCACGTGAGGATAGACTGTATCTTCATTTTCCAGACAAAGAGTGAATAGTGCTACATCTTCACTCTTACGATTTCTATTTTTCTTGTTTCCAAATTGTTAATATCTAACTACAGACAGCAGTGGGTATTATATAGCTACTGTTGTATATTTAAAATAAATATAATCCTGAAATTTGGGATAGAAATATATTAAACTTTAAAAGTTCTTTGTATATTTATAAATACAGCAATTTCTCCATATACAGAAAAGGCAGGAATTTTATTTTTATTAATGGAAACTATGAGTGATCACTAATAAAACAGAAAAAAGAGGAGAAACCATAGTTAATGTGATCTCTTATCTTATTTTCATTTGATTATGAGGCAATCACAGTAACATTTTCTTTGTGCTTATAAATAGAAAAAATCACATGCGCACACTCATAGAAACTAGAAAGTTTACTAGAAAATACTTCTAAGTAGAAAAAATCATACTCATACTGATAGAAACTAGAAAAATTCTGCAAAGGAAATAAATCAATCTTAATACCACTATCCTTCCAAAAATATCTCTTTCTGAAATAAATTCATGGTATATTCCTTTTACACTCATTTACTATTATGTCATAAGAGAAATGTTTTGTAGCAAATTTGTTAATAATTCGTAAGATTCCATCATGTGAAAAGCAAATAGTCTTGTCTCCTAACTACTGAAGATCTAGTCTACAATTTCTCACTAATATAAAAAATGTTGTGCAAGACTTATGTCATTGGATATGAATCTTGGACAACATTTTTCAATAGTTTTTTAGAAAGATTTCTAAATACAGTATTACAAGATCATATGATATATGTTATCAATATTGCAATGAATAGATAAAATAAATATTCTTACTAGCTATTTAAGTTCTAGCTCACTGATCTCTCATTTCTTCCAAATAACAATATTATCTATTAACGGTGGAAAAAGCTTTCCAATTTGAAAGAGTTTAAAGTTATTAAATTCAATGCATGGTTGTTGACTGGAACTTATATCAGAAAAAAGTTATAAAGAACATAATTAAGACAATTTTTAAAAATTTGAATATGAAATATACACTATATAATAGTATATCAATATGAAATATTCTAATTTTAAATATTATACTTTTGTCATATAAGAGAATATTATATTGTTGTCACATAAGAGAATGTGTATGTGTAGAGGGTAAGAGGTGTGATCAACAAATATGGTAAATGTATAAATCTATAAAAATTTATACTAACATTAATCCACTTTAAAATACTCCCCATCCCTTGGACATACTTGTCTCACCATTGTTATCACTTTTTGAAGCAGTTCTGGAAGTTTCTTTTTCATGGATATCATAACTGCCTTGATATCCTGAATTGACTCAAAATGTTTACTTTTCATAGTCATTTTGACTTTAGCAAAAATCTAGAAGTTGCATGGTGCCAAATCTGGTGAATAAAGTAGATGAGGACACATGGTAGTTTTTTCATGAGCCTGTCTTTCCTCTGGATGGGCAACAGCATTTGCCAAAGTTTTGATCCCACCTTACAGAGACATTCATGAAAGACGACTTCCAGAACTGCTTCAGGAAGTGGCAAGAACAACAGGATAAATATGTTTGAAGCAAGAGGGAATATTCTGAGAGGATTAATGACAATTTAAATTTTTTAATATAAATATTTACCATATATTTTTAATCATACCTTATATATACTTTTATAGTATACTTTTATATTTCAGTAGTATATGGGTGCTAAACATAAGAGTTAATAATATAATAATGTACATATACATAAAGAGAAAAATACAGAAACAGCACTATTCCTACAACTTTCTCCAAGCTCAAATTTTTTCTACACAAAAAATTTTTAATGTCTAACATATTTTATATAATATATCACACATAAATTACCTTTAAAGGAGTTACAAGTTCCAAGGTATGTTTTAGGTATATTAAATTTGTTATCTTTGATTCAGCTGCATTAACCTGTTAAGAAAATAACCCAAATGGACATAACATAAATATTTAATACACAAATGGGTTTTCCTCTTGAACTTTCTCTTACATACAGAAGAGGCTCTTATATATCAGCCTACCCAGGATGCCAGCCTAGCGAGGGATTAGAAATTACTGATCTGCCATAACAGGGCTAGTTGACTAACAAAAAGAGTTTACTATGATTATCCAGCCTAATTTTAAAGAAACATCATAATGAATGTTAGCTTCCAAAAGCATAATTTCTTACAATGCATCACTGAAACTAGAAAGTTAAAATAAATAAAATTTAGCCAATATGACAATCAATCTTCGCTATTATAAAAGAGGAATAATCCAAAAAACAGCCAATACAGCCTTGAAGAAAAACAAGGTAGAAAGACTAATGAAATCAACTTATAATGAAATTATAGTAATTAAAAACATAACCAGTGCCATGGGACAGACAGAGAGACCAAATACTCTAGAAACAGGCCCAGGAATATACAGGCATTTAATTATAACTGCAATACAGTGGCAAAAGCACTTTTCTATAAAATGTAACAGTACAATTATGAATCAGTAGAAGAAAGAGAAAAAATGGTACTTTCCTCATCCTACACACAGAAAATTAGATATAAATACAAAAAGTAAAACAATAAAACTTCTGGAACATAACAAAGAAGGCTGTCTTGGTGGTCTTGAGTGGTCTGTTATAGATTTTTGTAATTGATTTGGCATCCATTAATTGCACAAATAAACTAACAGCCAAAATTGTTTTATCTTCTCTTCAATTTGGCTTTTTGGGTACATATAAATAATATTACAAACACTACAAAACTCTACAAAACACTACAAAACTGTGTTTCACTTCCTGCAGAGACAGGGAAAACCTCTACCTGACAACTTCCTGGTAGTACAGTAATAAAAGCTTTCTCTTTGCCTTTTCCTTGTTCCTTCTACCTAACTGACCCTTGTTCTTCTCTGTATGGGCCCTGCCTGATTCAACCTATCTTCTAGGCACATATAAATTATAAAAAGCTTTCAGTGCCATTAGCTGCTCCATGTCCTCATTTGTCATCTCTACAAACCAAAATCAAGACACTGGGACAAGTAAATATTTTAAGCGTTGCAGACACTCTTATGGACAGATAAAGTCCTCAGGCACAGTCTCAGCTGCATTCAACAAGAAATTTTCTTTGCACAAAAGTGAATTCCAGAGATGAAATGGGTGGCACTGCTCAAAAATACCTAATCAAAAACTAATTACATATGCCTCCCCATGAAGCAAGCCCCACCATGCTGATCGCAAAGAGCCTCAGTCACAAGAGAAACTAAGCCTTCCCATGAAGCAGGCTCTGCTACACTAAGCTAATCCACAAGAACCTCAGCCAGAAGAGAAACCACACCTTCCTGTGAGCCAGCCAGTGCATGGGCTGAAAAACTAGAAGAGCACCCCACCCGCACTGATTCAGAAGATTCAAGGGGAGGCAATAGCAAATGAGGGGCAGGGAATAGCTTGATGCTTGTATTGACTGGTTGACTCTGCAGGCCTGGGGCTGGCGGTGTGGGCATCTATGGAGGATGGCAGTGGGCACTGTGTCAGTGTGTGGGGGATGTCCTCCAGTCCTGTTTTTGAAATTCAGTGTTTTGTTCCACGTTGCTGTTTTGTTTTGTCCTGCATCTGGTAACTTGAGCAACTATTTTGAAGATAACAGTGTGCAGTATTGTTCTCACTGTTTTGTTTGTTCCAATTTATTGTTTTGTTTTATTAAACATTATGTTTTCATTAGTTTTATTCTGTTTTGTTTTGTTTGACTTTGCTATGTCTGATGGTATGGACAAATATTGTGAAGACAGTAAGATATATTGTGGTAGCCATTGTTGATTTCCTATTATCCTGTTTTGAAGTTGTGTACCACTTTCACTGCTTTGTTTTGACTGGCTTTATTCTGCTTTGCTTTGTTAGGTTTTAGTCTCTTTAAAATACAAACATTGGGGCTGGGGATTTAGCTCAGCGGCATAAGCACCTGCCTTGCAAGCAGGCGGTCGTGAGTTCGATCCCTGGTACCAATAAAAAGGAAAAAGACCAAAAAAACAAAAAAAATACAAACATTACAAAGTGGGAGAAGATATTTGTAATATATAATCAACAAAGGATGCATGTCTAAACCTCATTAACAGAAAATTGCAATTTCAAACCACAATAAAACTGAGAATGGTACCACACATCTGCAGTTCCAGAACTTGGGAAGGCCGAGGCAGGAGGAGTATAAATAAAACCCAGCCTGGGTAACTTAGTGAAACCTTGTCTCATAAGTTTTTGAAAAGGGGTTTGGGGATATAGTTCAATGTGAAGGCCTTGGGTTCAATCACCTTATCCCACCAAAAAGAAAAAAAACACAATGAAAGATCACTGACTACTGAACACTATGACTATAATTTTACAAGAGTTCATATCAGGTTTTGTAGAAGATTAGTAGGAAGTCTCATACAGTGCTGATGGGAGGGTAAGTTGATACTATCATTTGGAAAATCTACATACAGCAGTAGGGATTTAAATAGTAGTTTGTATAATCTACTGAACAGTAGTCTGCATAATCTACTGAAGCTGAAGATATACATAGCCTAGAATCCAGAAATTCTACTCCTAAACACATGTGCAATAAATATGTGTATATATTAGAGGTGGGTACTTTTTTATAATGCAGACTCAAACCTAGAAACTTGTACATGTTCAACAAACACTATTCCACTGACCTAGATTTCCAGTCTACAAGATTTTTAACAGTATTATTTCAATTGCCAAAACTGTCACAATTCAAGATCTAGCAAGAGTGAAATAAAAAATAATAATATTCCTACAGTGGATTATTACACAGCAAAGGAAATAAATGAACTAATGTTACATGCAACAACATGATTAAATCTCATAAATACAAAGTTGACTAGCAGCCAGCCCAAAAAACACATGCAGAATGCTTTCTTATACATGAAGCTTCTGTAAGAACAGGTAAAACTATATTATAAAGAAAACCAAAAAAAAAAAAGTTACAAGGAAGAGGGAAGAAGAGAATAAAAAGAAGGAGCAAATGGATAGTTTTTGAAGTACTGGCAGTATCAGTTTCATTGCCTCACTGATTGTTAAATGATTTTCACTTAATGACAAATCAGTAAACACCCTATTTTTGTCTTGTGTAGTTTTCTGAATCTGCATTATTTCACATTACCTTTTAAAATTTTTATTAGTACATGTTTGCAGTATATAATTACATTTGTTGTGGGGAATTAGTAAATGCACATAATACAATTCAATTCTTTTTTCCCATTCCCTTTCATTCTCCCTCTTTGCCAGTATCAGATTCATTTATTTATCCTGTCATTACAGAGCTAATGATCACGTATACAGATTAACAGCCAGACTAGTAACGTTACTTTTAAAAAGTCTTGAAATGATAAGGAACAAAAAGGGAAGAAGAAAACAGGGAGAAGTACTCATTTAAAAAACAAAGAGAGTACTTCAAGGAAGAGTTTGTCATCTGTGTTGAGTTTTGCAGCTGCACTGCCGTTAGCCCCTGGATTTACCATATGGAGCTCTTTGGTGGGCTTGACTTCATTGGTGGCAGTCCCAGAGGAGTGGTAGGCAGAAGATCCAATGGGAGTGCATTAAGAGAGAAAAAGATACATCAAAGACATCAATTATTAAAGATCTCGCTGAGGAAATTTTCTGTAAAAAGAACCAAAAGTAGAAGAAAAAATAGAGAGAAAAATAAAACTGAGCAAATATTTTTCCTTTAAGTAACAAGTATGTTGTATGCTCATAAAAACAAACTTTTTAAAAAGTTGAACATTAATTGATGCAAAGTACAGAAAATTCTGAAGTGCTGCCAAGAAAAAGAGGCAAAAAAGACAAGGAACATAGAACAGAAAGTAAAAAAGTTGGTCTTAGCCAGGACAATGGACATTTATCCTCAGAGATGAGAGATACAGTATGTACAAGTGAGTCAGATAAACGCAGTAGCAAAAGCAAGTGAAAGTCATCTTTGACTGCTTTGCTTTTCCCAGCAAAGTAGGAAGCAAGATCCTCAAGGGCTACAATTGAGTTGCGGTAAGAAATTTGTCTTAGAATGGCATCGCCTCATGATATAACCTCCTCTTTTCTCAGAGGCTTAATAAAATGAGCCTAATTTCTTATTCACACACAATCCAAAGTCAGTCAGAGGCTTTGGGTCCCTTCTGTGTGTGGTTCACCATTTTTCTGCTGAATACTTTGCAGTTAGAAGGGATTGAACAAGCAGATCCTTTATGATTAAGGACTTTTGTGTTGTTTCTTATTTCTCTTCATATTCCACTGGTCAAAAATACTCATTCTTTCTGGAATAGAGGCTATGAAACATCATCTAGCTCTGTTTCCAGAAGGAAGAGCAAACAAGCTCAGCTGAACACAAGGTAGTCATTGTTGGATAGGTGGTGAAGGGTGAGGGAGACAAAAGATGGCTTGAAAGGGTTTCTGAGCTCATGGAAAATCGAGACAAGAAAATACAGGGTTACTGGGCAGCCTTAAGAGTCTCGATGATAGTAAGCTTCAGGAAGTGACGAGAAAAGTCTGAGTATGGAGTAGTTTGGGAGTGCTGGGCTTTTGTGGTGACTCCCATGAGGAGGGACAGGATTAGAAGTTTATACCAATGCTTCAAAAGCAAATATTGACTGGTTCAATTAAACATTAAATTCATACAAACATTAAAATTTAAGGTAGAAGGAAAGACAGTCTTGAGATTAGCAAGAAATATTGTGAGACTCCAACTAACTCTTGATAATAAAAATATGGAGTAAAACCTAAGGTGGTGAGGAGACGTGGGGACTGCAAACCTTGACACACCAAGCAAAGGCCTAAACAAAGATGGGCACAGACTCCTGACCCACAGAAACCATGAAATAATAAGCACAGGCTGTTTTAAGCAGTCATGATGGTGGTAACGTTATGCACCAATAGAAAACCTGCAGAGCCTCTG